AATGAAGCTATCCTTAAATACCTAGAGCCAGCAAGTTTCCCAGGCCTTGCTGAGGAGTTTCACATGTATTTTGGACACACTGTCCTTGGCAGCTACCAACTCTGACCTAGCCTCTGTTCTCAGAAAGCCGGAAAGACATGCAGAAGTGAGAGCTTCTGGGAGGAGCTTCACATACCTGAGCATGTGTGCAGCCCTATGTGCGTCTGTGTTACCTTCTTGAGTCCAATAATACGTCAGAGCTTCAGAAAGCCGCCTTATAAATTTCATTTCCAAGACGGGTATTTGTTACAATTGCAGATATCATAATTTTTAATTCCAGAATTTCTATTTTTTCTTTGCCTCACTTATCTGTCCACTGCCTCATACATTGGGTTCTGTGTCAGAAAATACATAGGAACCACCACACAGGTCAAAGAATAAATCCCAACCATGCGACCCTGAAGGAGCTCCAGTCCCATTCTGTTCCCAGCCTACTGGTTTTCACCATAATTACAGATTATTATTTTTCAAAGTTACTGTGATGCTAGAGAGAGGAGGGCATGTGAACAGAAGAGTCAAAATGCCACAGTGCTGAGTATTCATACCCAGATTCAGCTGCCTTCATAAATAATCATTCCCAGGATTTCCATAAGCCTTCTGTTAATTTCCAGAGTTCCAGAAATTTGAATTCTGACCATTTATGCCAATGTTCTTGTTACTTTCATGGAGGAGAGGATTTTTCAGCCATCTTTATTCTCTGTGTTTGGCTGATGAGTTCAGTCTATCCTGTGGTACCGGTAAAGCAAGGTACAGTGAATACTGCAGAGTACAGGCCTTATCACCAACAGGAAGAACGTCCCACCCACTGGTTCTACAGAATGTGGGCATCACTTCAGTAAATGGAAGACACTGGAGAGATAGGAGGTCATGGTTTGGAAATACACTGTGGGACAGTGAGCCTGCGGGACCTGTTGTTATTGTGTATGATAAGATCTAGAGCATGAGTAGCAGAAAAAGATTGGAGAATGGTAAGTTCTAGAATTAAAAGGTTAGCATGGTGGGAAATCTCTTCACCTGAATTTAGACTTTCCTAGACTTTATTCTAGCGGAAGGGTTAAAAAGAGAAATAGAGTGAACCAAAGCTTTGAGGAACACAGAGTGATGCAGGTGCTATCTGAAAACTGTTCTCAGAAGAAAGGAATATGTCTGTGAGCTCGTTAACACGTGATTCGAGTGGGGTTTCAGGACGTAAAGAAAAAAGTCTGGAAGTGGCAATGAATGAGAGGGACACTTCCAACCCAAAGGCTGGTTAGGAGCGGTGGGGGAGAAAGAAGAGCTGTCCTTTGAGGGCTCAAGGAGAGCATTGTCCTCAGGGGACCTCCCAGACTCTGTTACCGCCACACGACGGTGGTGAGCATTTCCTGAAGACACCCAAAGGAGTAGAACATTTGGAGAAAGAGCCCAACAGGACACAGTAAGATAGCGGCAGGGTGCTGCAGAGAAGGTGGAGTCGGCCACAGTACTACACTGAGTTAGGTCAGGTGTTGGTATCCAGAAGATGACAGCTTCCCAAGGACTCCTGGGGGGGCTCCCAGCAGTCATGTGATGTATTACCTAGGGCTGGGAGGGACGGTGCTTTCGCAGACCCATGGAAACACCTAGAGCTTGGGCTTCACTCTTACTGAAGGGGAGGTAATTCTGTCACAGATGGGCAGCTCTGACCTAAGATGATAGAGGTTTCCAGCCTCCTTTCGCCTGTCAGGTTCTATTCTGGTTACGGATTTAGTACAAAGCTTACAAACTTCATTAACCACCGCCTGGCTAGTTTTTCACTGTAATGGCTGGCAAGTAAATATTTAGGTCTTCTATGCAGAAAACCAACATAAATCTCTTCAGTTAAAAATCAAACGTGTGCAGATCAGAGGGTAGCCTTCTAAGCAATTTCTTACTTATTTACCTCACCATCTGGTCCATAGGGACCCAGTCCCTTCTTTTGTTATAATACACAGCTGCTCCAAGGAGAAATAGATTCCCCTGTGTGCGCAAGAGCGTAATGAAACCTCAAACATCGACTTAACTGTGATCAAGTCTTGAAAGTGTTACAGAGCTTAGTCATGCTCCAGTAATTATTCTATTCGGGGTCTTTGTATTTTAAATGCAACTTATTAGATGTTATTCTTAACATCCTAGATGTCACTTCAACTTTTTCTGTCCCTGCTTAAAAAGCATATTACCGTAGGAAGAGCGGCATGATTTCAGCGTTAATCTTGTATCCGCTCTAATACTTAAATAAATTTTAAATGTCAGTACTTTACCAAGAGCAAGGTTAGTAAGACCCTTCTTAACAGTGACAACAGCATTGAGATAGCCTCACTTTGATGACTACTGCACTTGAAAACTTGGAGCACACATCTGAGTGCCTACAGATAGGGCACATGCATTTATGACCTGACCTGGGTGTTTTTAAAAATGCAAATCCATCAGGCAATGAATTAAATATATTCCTTTTTACTGTATGAGTCACCAAGGAAACCTTTTTCTTCTGTTACAGTAGCTATGTAAATTCATCCAGTTTGTGTTGTGGCTTCATCGTGTAATAGCTTTATGATATTGGTCAAACTAATTCATTTCTGTGTCCTCAATTGACAGATCTTTAAATATATGTAAAGTGTTAACCACAGTGTCTAACCGGTTCTTAGCAAGCATTTACCCAATATTAGTTGCTGATATAAATTGCTATATTTTGTGATATAGATGTTTCTCCTTCATATAACGTCACCAAGACGTATTTCCACAGTAGACTAGATGTTTAGTCTGCTTTAGTTAAGAACGGAAGGGTTTTTAAGTCTTTTACAATATCTCTTTAAACTGTCTTGTTAACTATAAATATTGTAATTATCACTTTTATTAATGCCACTTATGCAGTGCTGTCCCAAACTCTAAGGCAGACATTGATCCAAGTACTGTACCTTACATATATGACGTGACTGAACCCTTAACACTCTGAGTCAAGTAATACTACTCTTGCCACTTCACAGGTGAGGGGGAAAAAATGATGCACAGGAAGGTTTAGAGCATTATTCCAAGGGCTGGTAAATTCCAGAGACGGAACCCATACCCAGGCCTTGCGCCTGGAGGAACGTGCACCTCATCTATGCATGCTGCTGCCTCTCACAAGGAAAGGTAAACACCGGAGCTGATGGAAATGCAGCTGCAGTCACTAACACCCACCCAGGGCAGAACACCAACCCACCTGAAGGATCTACTTGTGACCATGATGTCATTTCCATCACTCTCTGGGAGATGACTATTAAGATTCATTCATTCATCGGTCCATTCCTTCAAGAACCAGTCTCTTTAGCCAAGGTACTCAGTAAAGAAAACAGTACTCAGGACCGGAGATTTAGCTCAGTGGTTCGGTGGCCTGCCTTGCAAGCGCAAGGACCCAAGTTCAATCCCCAGTACCAAAAAAAATGAAAGAAAGAAAAGAAAAAGAAAACAGTACTCCAAACAGTACTCCTTCCCAGGATATGTACCCTTGTGGAGGGAACAGATTTTAAACAAAATACACAATAAAATTATACAGTATGTTAAAGGACAATATATGATGTGAAGCAAACGGTGCACAGAAGGAAACTGAACAGCACATGAATATGTGAGGGGTGGTTGGATTTTAAATGAAGTAGTTAGGGGAAGAGGCATATGTGGAGAAATCTGGAGGAAATGGGAGTAAACAGTATGGGTATGAGGACAGTGAGGATTCCAAGCAGAGAGAACAGCCAAAGGCCTAGCAGGAAGGCTGCTGTGTCCCAAGCCGAGTGAGACGTGAGAGCAGAGTTGTGCAGGGACATGGTACACATCATGTAGGGCTCCTGCAGACCTTCCTGAGGACTCTGTGGCTTCAGGGTTAGATGGACAGTCGCTCTGGTGTTTTAAACAGGGCTGGTGACATCATTTGGTTGGCAAATGGAAAGCATCGTTGATGCTTTCAAACTAGGATGTAAAATGAGCCTAGAAGCAGACTGGCAGGTAGGAGGTGGCTGTGCCAGCCAAGGGAAGATACGATGTGGACCGGGATTAGGCTGGGATCGGGAGAGGTGGTGCATAGCAGCCAGTGTGCAGCTATATGCTGAAAATGGAGCCAATACCAATTTTTGGAAGATTAGATATCAGGTATGGGAGAAACAGGAGCCCCAAAAATGACTTAAGGGATTTGTCTTAACCAAGTGAAAGGACAGGGTTACCATCCACCGAGATGTGGACAAAGATAGACACTTGAGATATGGCCGGGAAGGGGAGAGCACACCAGACCAGCTGGATGTGTCTGATAGAGCTGTTGGCCATCCAAATGTGTATGTTAAATGGAAAGATAGATACTGGAGCACATTCCATGCTATGGCAAAGATTCTAGTAAATGTCATAAGAGATGAATGCAGATAGAAAAGAGAAGTAGTGAGAAGAGTAAACTGTGTATTGCTTGGTCAGAAAGAAAGTGTCAAGGAAGACAGTAGCCCATTGAGGGTTAATGTGACAAAGTGGTTAATGAGGAACGATGTGTGTGTGTGTGTGTGTGTGTGTGTGTGTGTGTGTATATATATATATATATATATCCCAAAGGTAGGCAATATTTCAAGAGAAAGGGAATGTCAAGTCTCAGATGCTATGCTGCACTGCAGAAGGTGAGGGTGAGAAGAATAATGTTCAAGATGGTGAGTGAGAGCCTCATCAGGGTAGGTCCCACAGCGAATCAGAGAAGTACTCGAGACAGTAAGAGGTTCTTCAAGATGGAACAACAGCAGCATTGTCCCTGCCCATGGAAAATACCTAACAGATAAAAGAAAATGGGTGTTTCAGGACAGATGGGAAGAACTACTGGACCCGTGTGCATAGGCAAGAGGAAAGGGTCTCAGGCACTGGAGAAGGCACAGGTCTTGGCTAAAACTGCACACATCACACATCAAAAAAGGAGATCCAGGGCAAGGGATTTAGCTCAGTGGTATTGCCAGCTGCCTCGCAAGTGCCAGGACCTGAGTTTGATCTCCAGTAGCAAAAGAAAAAAGAAAAAGAAAAGAAAGGAAGGAGATCCAGGGTGAATCTCAGCGCACTGTATATCTCGGAACTTTGGGGGTGCTTGAAAAGTACTTGGCATAGTACCTCACACAGGATGAAGGCTCAATTAGCTGCTGCTGCTGCTGCTGCTGCTGTTTTAAGACAAAATAGACTTGAACAGTTTTGCTAACAACAAAAAAGAAACTTTCAGCCTATATCCTTCCTTCAAGGTCTACAGCATGATGTTTTTCTAAAAGTTGAATTAATCCTCCAGCCTTTGCCAAATTTTCCAACAGGGCACACACTTTTGTGTGTATTTTGCACACACTTTTCCTAGAACATGGCATGGGCCTCTCAGGAAGGTAAATATCCTAGAGAACTAAGCTGCCTGAAAAGATAAACTGCTTAGTGGATTAAAATTCCATATTTTATATAACCTGATGGCATAAACATCATAGTTCTGCTTGTTGTATGTCTTATAACTCTCTCCAGGATATCTCCTGCCACTCCTTTTGTGCTTTTCTATCTTCACCTTCTTTCTTCCAGTGGTGGTGACACAGACACAAAAATCTTGTCCTCCAGCAGCATTGTTCCTGGTCTCCAGGAGATGAACCGTGATAATATCGCTTCTCACTGAGACACAGGGGTTGTGACAATGTGCAAGGGTTTGGAATGCCTGAAGGCTAGTCCTCAGAATTGCTTATTTTTGACTCGCATTCACTCTTTTTACTGACTTGAGTTGGTTAGATTGCCCTGCCTTCTCGTTTCCTAGTTCATTTCAGTTGCTATAGTGATTAGCACATAATAAGCATTCAATACATGCTGAATCACTAAAATCTTGATACAAATTTAATAGTTTCCTTGTAAAATTTCCAACACAATGTGAGTCCATATGCTGTGTAGACTGGAAGGTTCCATGACTCGAATCCAGCCATGTAGAATGTCTCTGTCCCCCGCACTTCGAATAGAGCACAAAGTCAGTGTTGTCTGAGTTCTTATACGTGTTGTAGCAGGAGAAGGGTGCACGAATGAGAGGGAGGAATTCAGAGGAGCCTTATTAGGTAAGAGTGGATCCTCAGCCTGGGTCAACATGCTTGTATTCCAGACGTGTCTTTCCCATCATCAGACTTTGCTTTTCACCATGTCTCCTCATGATCGCGGTCACGCTTTCTCAGGACCACTTGTTGGACACTTCCGTAGGTTCCTCCCTGAGCTCCATGGAAGGGATGTTGATGCCCATGTGGCACAGAGAAGAGGGCATCCAAGATGCGTGCCGATCCGAAAGCTGACTGACCAGGGAGGGTGAGAGACGTAGGGCTGATCGAAGGAGACGCAGCTCCAAGGCAGGGACAGCTGCCATCTGCAAAGGGGAAGTGGAGTTTTTATTTAGTTCTACAAGAAAAAGTTAAATGGTAGAGTGTACCAGAATACAAATCTCAGTGTAATGTAAACATCTACAGAAACCGAGGGCAACTTGGTAATACAGTGAATTCTTCAAAGACAGTATTTAAAGAAGGTCTGGGTACTTGTCAGTAATATCAGTGAAAGGATATTTGAGTCAAGGAAGTGATGAGTTAAGTTCTTTCAGATACTGCAATGTGAAAAGACCAAGTATTCAAGAAACATGCACATAAATCTGCAAGATAGTAAATTACCAGGAGGATTATAATAAGAACTATTATTTATTAATTACTGAATACACATGAGCTATAATATGAAGCCCTAAACATTAACTAACATCATTTTTATAACAACTTTATGAGGGACATATTGTCCTTATACTCATTTTAAAGATAAGGAAAATGAGTTCAGGTAGCTGTCGAGTCCCTCTTAGAGCTGGTTCTGGCTCCAGGGTCTGCGCTATTAACCATGAAACTGCCGGGGATTTAGCTCAGTGGTTCTGTGGCCTGCCTTGCAAGCGCAAGGACCTGAGTTCAATCCCCAGTACCAAAACAAACAAACAAACAAAAAACACATGAAATTAATTGCCTCTGCCTATGAAAGAAAATAATTAGTTCCTAAGAGTAGCAATGTTCTTACTTTTAAATTGGAAAGATCGAAAGGCCTCTCTGCAAGGAGATGTTTTGGATAGGACCTGGAGAGTAGGAACTAGATAGCTGTGGAGTGGATGATGGGAAAGCCTTTCAGGAAAGGAAGCATCAACAGGACACGGAGTGAGTGGTGTTCTCACAAAGAGCCAGCAGGAGGCATTTGTAGTGAGAGCAAATTGAAGGGGAAGGAACGCGATTTACAGTAAGGACAGAGCTCTGGGCTGGGGTCAGGTGGAAGGCAGGGCTGATAATCCAAGTGCGGTGAGAAGGTCTCTGACAGGTGGGTCCCAATTGGATCCTGCAGGCTTCAAGCCGCCCGCGTCAGCTAGTGACTTGACCCTCTTTAAACGTAATGTTTTAACACTATGATGTGATTTCAAGCACATTTGTCACAATTCAATTGTAGAGGCCTAGAGGGCGCAGTGCTTGCCGCCATTTGCAGCCAGTGGAACGGAAGCCCGCATACGTCAGATATCACATGACTACTGCGAGACGTACTTAAACCTACCTGAATACTTCTGCACATTATCTGTATCACGTGTTCTGTGCATGGCACAAGAAAATTCCTATTGACTCAGTGCTGCCCTGAAAACCAAAAGGTTAGACACGGTGGTCTACGAGATAGTAGAAAGGATGAGTAATATCATTACCCTGTGTTACCGATAAATGAGAGAACTAGTTGAACATAATCCATTTCTCTGAGTTTTTTTAGAAGGCTCTTGTGATAGTCAATGCAAAATTAAGAAAGTAACCATTACTCCCACCGACCAGGGGTGTATGGTACTGTGACATAACCAAGCCAAAGCTGACTGGTGTTACACACGAGTTACAAAGGGTCTCTGAATTGCTGGGAAAGAGTGGAGTAGGTAAAAATGAAAGAGGCAAGTAGTGTGGCAGGTGGGAGACCTCAAAGGCTTATTTGACTGGCCATAGAAGGAAGTGAAGAATTAGGATGGACCAGATCACAGAGGGCCTTGTGGTATTTTAAGATTTTTAGATTTAATCCTCAATGTGTTATGAAAGCCAAGGGTCAACAAGAAACTCTTTTTTGAAAGTGATAGTTTTACTTGGCAAACTGTAAAGCAATCTCAAATATATTTTACATTAAAAACAAAGGAACTTTTAAAACCCAGAAGACTGAAAGTTACAGGCATCCCAACTCTTCACTCCTAAATTCCACAGCACATCTTTCTTAAGTAAAAAGCTATTCCACTAAGTAGTCATAACATCATTATGACAGCTTACAAAATTCTTCAAAAGTGAGACAGTGTTTCAAATTTTAAAATATTTGGATGTGAAGACATTTATTCCAAAAAGTTATTCTTATAAGAAAGACAGCCTCACTTATAACAAAGATTTATTTAAAACCCTATATATTTAATAAGCAATAGTTTTATTTAACCCTAGTTTTTTGGGACTGTGAGTTTCCACCCAAATCATGTAATTTTAGGACTCTAAATGTATTCTTTGTTTTGTTTTGTTTTGTTGTACTGGGGATGGAACTCAGGACCTTGTTCTTTCAAGGCAGGTGGTAGAATCACTGCTCCAAATCCCTGGCCACAGTACTCTAATACTTGATGGAAGGGCACTACTCTAAAGAGCAGGGAGTGAAAGTGACATTTTTAATGTCTATCTCAGTATGCTATCATTATCTGTGTCCCTTTGGAAAAGATGAAAGATTTGCCTTTACTTCCAGTGGCAACAAAAGAATCAAGATAGCCCACATCCTACCAAGAACTGCCATTTCTCCTATTAATCTATTTTAATAGACCAGACTAAGTAGCACTCCATCAACTTGTTCATCTCTGTGAACCTTCCACAGGTCTTCAGTTGGCATGGTTAATGTCCAGATATCCATCTTACCCATGTAAAACGTGGCTAAAGCTAGACATAATTTAGCATCCTGGACTTACTCATGAGACCCCCTTTAAAGTCAGGATGGCATTTATGGGCCCAATGGGAATACTGCGTATGACAGTTTAATACGGCTGCTGTCTTCGGGCAATGTATTTTCAGACATTTGTATCAATGCTGTCCCTTTCTACTTTCCAAAATGCTACAGTGACATATGTTTACATGAGCCCTGAGAAAGTCCCAGAATACAGGAGAAAGAAGGATAAGAAATCAACCATTATTCTGTTTCCTACCAGATTTCATAAATGTAGTGCAACATAATGATTCAGTAAATGCAGATGCATTTAAAATTTACATGTGAGTTAGAGCTTCACCTTTTATCTTGTAATCCAGGGACTATATTCCATTTCATCAGGAATTCTAGACCCGCCTTGTCTGGTATCACCTTCCCTCTATTCATGTGCCTTCTCTAGTATGCAGACCTGTATTTCCAACGCCTTGTGGGCCAACACCTGATGCTTATGTCAGAAACTGTTCACTGGCGAACTCCTCTAAGCGTTCCACCGGAGTATCAAACCTCCATGTGGGTCTGACTGCTGTAATTAATTATGCCTGTCTCTTCCTTGAATTTAGAAATGGGGAGAAACAGAGGAATAAGAAGAGATCCAAAATACTAGCATTATTTTTGGTGAAATTTTAGTGGAAGAATCAATCCTGGGGCCATTTCCAAGTTGAAATTTCTAAAGTCCGCATACATCCCGAATTCTACCTAACTGCCATTTTCTTTTCCTTGTCTCAACAAGAAATAAAATCTTTTTTTTTTTTGAAGTGAGAAAATACTGAGAGAAACAGGATAGAAACTTCCTCCCACACAAATCACTTCAGTTCTTATTTTAAAAGTCAGCAGTCTTGCAGGAAAATAGAGAAAAATGCTCCTAGGCGATGGTTACGTTGAACTCAGAACCTGCTCCAAACTGGACCCAAGTGGCCCTCTCTGCCAGTGGCCGGTGTTATCCTCCGTGCAGATGTGGGGACTAGAAGCCGAAAGTCAGCCCCACATCCAGTGAGGTGCTGACCCTTAGAGATTACTGCTGGAGATGTCTTCATGCCCCTTTTCTCTGTGATCTCCCTTGTTGCAAAAGCACTTGCAGTTCTCGTCCCCTCCTATCTGTCCAACTGTGAAAAGCAGTTTAGAGCCAGGTTAGGAATCATGAATTCCCAGTGGCTCTATCATTTCATTGGCTGACCTGACCTTAGGCAAATCATTTATACTTTCCCAGTCCTAGTTTCTGTGCAAAATGGACATAACAGCAGTACTTACATAAGACAGCAGTGAACATTAAATGAGATCAGGCAGATACAGTCTCTAGCCTATTACTAGGAATAGGGTAGAAGCCCCCTTTGAAATATATCATTGACTATTTTTACGTATAGTTACCCTGTTGTGCTATAGAAAAACCAGAAGAGAGTTCTCCTTTCTAACTGCTTTGGTGTCCTTTAATGTTTTCGTATCTCCCCTCCCTACCCATCTTTCTAGTGTCTAGGAACCACTAATCCACAGATAACTTTCATTTCCATCCTATGGCAGCTAATGATAGAATTTCAGCCTTTTTCATGGCCGAATAATAGCCCATTGTTTGTATATTTGTATATTAGGAATAGTGCAGCAAAAAATGCGAAAATGCAAGTATCTCTTTGGTGTAATGATTTCACCTTTTTCTGGAATAGAACCAGTAGTAGAATTGCTGGACCATACAGTACTTTTAAGTCTTGAGGAATCTGTATGCTGTTTTTTACAATGACTGAATTAATTCACTTTTCCATCAATAGTGTATAAAAATCCCTTTCTCTAAATCTTTGCTAAATTTTGTTTTTCTTTTTAATAACAGCCTTTCTGAATGGACTTGATACATCCATCTAGTTTTAATTTCCTTGATGATTAATGAGATTCAGCATCTTTTCATACACATGATCATTTTTATGTATTCCTTTGAAAAAATGTCTATTTCCTTAGCCCATTTTAATTTCTAGATATCAGTCCTTTCTCAGATGAATAGTATGTAAATTTTCTTTCCCATCCTACAGACTTTCTCTTTATCCTGTTAATTAGTTCCTTGGATGTGCAGAAGCATTTCAGTTTGATATAATCCCACTTGTACCATGAAACAGTCCCTTTAACACTCCCCTTAAGATGGGTCTGGAGGGGATGAGCTCTGAACTTTCGTCTCTCTGAAAAGAGTCTCTGTATTACTGAAGAACAGCCCGCCCACGTAAAGTCTTCCTTGTTGGCAGAATGTTGTTCCTTTAACCCACTTAAGCCCTAGCTGTAACTTACTTTTCACCATTTGTATTTCTTTTATTTTTAATTGGTACATATAGCAAAACTTATATAGATTAGTGGGATACCATGTTATGTTTTCATACATGTATACCTTGCATAAAGCTAAAATCAACT